TTCTTTCTTTATTGTTGTTGTTGTTGTTGTTGTTGTTGTTGTTGTTGTTATTATTATTATTATTATTATTATTATTATTATTATTATTATTATTATTATGTTAATCTTTGGTGAGATTCACAGCCTTTGGGGCTGGTTGGTAGCTCAACAGCTCAAGTCCTAACCAAGGACCTAGAATTTGTAGAATCAGAATGTTCAAGTCTGATAAATTTAAAGTTATTATTAGTAGTAGTAGTTGTAGTTGTAGTTGTAGTATGTAGTAGTAGTAGTAGTATCTCCTTTATTCATTAAACATGAAACTCAGTCAACCAAACACCCAAAAATGTGTCACAAACACTATTGACTGGTGCTAATAGTTGATACGGGTTGGTGCCAGCATCCTAGGTATCAACCAAGTATCTTCTTAGAATATATGATGTTCCGAGTAGCACAGTTTTTTGCATTTCCTCTAGTATTATTGCAGGAAGCTGCAATTTCTTGATGTGTTTCGTTGTTGTTGTTGTTATCATTATTGGAAAATAGATATCATTTAGGGGATTTTTTTTTACAGTGCAAAGCCATTCCCCCCTTCCCTCTGCATTTTGTTTGCATTTGTCAATTCCAAACACTTCTCTTCAGGACTAAGGAACCTGTGGTTCTCCCAACATTGTTCTTTCCCTAACCATAAGTCAGACAGGTTGAGATCTACAGATGCCAGAAATACCTGGAAGTCTGGAGTTTTCCCATTCCTACACTTTTCAACGCTCAACTTGCAATGGGTTGTACTGTCTTGGTTGCATGTCATGCTCATGGTTGTCTTCAGGAATGGCCCCAGTAAGAGGCCATGAAAGCAGAGGTGGGCTTCACATAATTTAACAACCGGTCGCCTAGTGTAGAACCGAAAAACGTGAGCGTGCCTTCCGCACTTGTGCACGGTTTCAAACACATAGCGATTTTATGCGCACTTTCTCAGGCAGCGGTGGTGAGTAGAGTGGGCGAGGCACGGAAATCAGCTGGGCTGCTGAGCAAGCCAGAGAGTGAGATATATAGGATGGGATAGTGCCGGGACAGGTGGGCGGAACAACCGGTTCGCGAGAACCAGTCCGAACCAACAGCAGCCCACCTCTGCATAAAAGCCAACTCTTGGCTGAGTCCACTTACAAAGTGAGAGCAGCCTTTCAGAATGTGATCAAATTATGTCGTAAAAACATGGTTTGTTTGTTTTTTGTCTTTCCTTTTAGAAAATGAAGTAAGAGCTTTCCCAGTCTTAATTAGTGACCAGAGTGAGATAATTGACACTAATGGAGCCGGAGATGCCTTTGTTGGTGGTAAGTACCTTTTGCATGTGATTCTGTTTGGAGATCTACCTGTTCTTCCCCCCTTCCTCTTCTTACCCAGCAACTTCATCAGACAATGCAATAACAAAGGTTGGTGTTGGTGTTTTTCCCATCAAAGAGCATCAAGCTTGTTCTTTGCAAACGTTCATTTGCATCCTAAGAGTCTGTTTTAATGGATTGTTAATTCTCTCAGGAAAAACGTGTTGGTACCTTTACAGATAATGTGCTGTTAAGCAACATCTACATTGTTTTCACAAGATTAATTGTGCCTGTCAGAATGTTGCGTAAATAGAGCTGCCTCAAATATGCTTTCTAGACTCCTCCAAATTCTACCCTGGCTTTAAAATCTTAGCACATTGCTCTTCTTTTTTAGCAGGTTGTGGTGAATATTGCAGAGTATGAAAATAACTAACATTTGAACCTTAAACTCCCCCCCCCCTTACTGCATCTGTTTCCTAGCCTGATGGTGTGTAAGTGCCCCTCCCCAAATGATATGCTTTAAGAGGCAGAAATAGCAGAACATCTGCTCTGATTTATATCTGATCTCATTTTTTTAATATTGGGAAGGAATGAAAGATACAACTCTCCGTCTCCATTGTTTAAAATGCCTCAAATAAATCAAAACCTTGTGTAGCTGCAAAGTTATGTTATTGACGATAAATCTCTGTTTCTTGCAACAACAGGCTCTTTCACTTTGAAAATGGTAGTGCTGAAAGTCTTAAAGTTGTCCACAACACTTCCCTTAGTTTTCTCAAAATACAGGACTTGTTCTTTTGGTATGACTACAGTTGTTATTGTTGCCACATCAGATGAAGAGAATATATGAGAGTCTTCACTTCTTGACACAAGTCTCTTACAATCTAGGTTTACCTTGAGCCACCAATCAGGTTTGTGTTGCAGAACTCTAGACTGTCCCTAGGTGGCAGCAACATGGTTCAGAAAATCCAAACCTGGCTGTCCTCTGGTGGTTGTTTGGACATTAACCCAAATGTGACAGAAACAGCATTTTCCTCCTCCTTCTGTTTCTTCTTCTCCTCCCCTTCTTGCTCTTTTTCCTCCTCCACGTTTTCTTCCTCTTTCCTCCTCCTCTTGACCAAAAAGACCATAGGACGATTGGTTGAAGGTTATCCTAAAAGCATTTACCTCTGTTATCGGATGACGAGCGCATTCTATTCCCAAAGCATTGTATCAAGGAAAAGGCACGATGAGAACCAGTTGGGAAGATGGAATCATAGATTCCCCATTCTTCTCATATTAGGCTCGTCCCTGTCTCAGGTGTTTTGATCTTGGTTTCTACTATCTTTCAGTCTCCACTCGAGGTTTAAAACTTTAGGAAACCTGACAAAACTACACTCAAGGAACTAACTTCTGAGTGGAACTGAGAAGCTTTCTTCCATACATCTAGGCATTTTTAATTCCTCAGAATCATTATTTGAAGTGCTTAGACTGAAACATGTGGCCCCTTACTTTTAGCAGTAGAGGTTACAATTAGAAAAGGCTAAAGCCAGACTAGGCATTGGGATTGAATTCAAAATATGTTCTGTTCTGAATGCATTTTTAGCCAAACTCCATCCTGGAAGTAAACAGTAGGAGGCTTCCTAATGAACTTGCGAAATTTGTGTAGCTTATGGAGAGCTGACCTTTCTAGATCCAACTTGCAAAGGACAATATTTACATAGTGTTAACAGATGGAAAGCAACAATTTTACATAAAGGACACTGAGTGTAGCAGAGAAAATCTATCTACCGTATTTTTCGGAGTATAAGACGCACCGGAGTATAAGACACATCAAGATTTTGAAGAGGCAATTTAAAAAAAAAGAAAAAAGTAGGTAGGTAGATAGAGGGAGAGAGAGGGAGAGAAATACAGTAGGTAGGTAGGGGGAGAGAGAGAGTAGTTAGTTAGTTAGTTAGTTAGTTAGTTAGTTAGTTAGATAAAGGGAGAGAGAGAGAGAAAGAAATACGGTAGGTAGGGAGAGAGAGTGTGTGTAGGTAGGTAGGTAGAGGGATAGAGAGAAATAGAAAGAGAGAGAGAGAAATACAGTAGATAGGGAGAGAGACAGTAGGTAGGTTGGTAGGTAGAAAAATAGAGAGAGAGAAATACAGTAAGATAGGTAGGGGAAGAGAGAGAGTAATTATGTAGGTAGGTAAATAAAGGGATAGAGAGAGAAATAGAGACAGAGAGAGAAATACAGTAGGTAGGTAGGGAGAGAGAGTGTGTGTAGGTAGGTAGATAGATAGAGGGATGGAGAGAGAGAAAGAGAGAAATACAATAGATAGGTAGGTGTTTCTGCTGGCACAGCACTTGATCAATGTAATTCTCATCAATCAGTTAAAAAGCTTTCCAAAACGGGGGGAAAAGTTTTTGCAGTCTGCAAACCTCCAAAAAATGGCCCGTTTTTCATGAAAAAGGGCCCATTTTCCCCCCAAAAGCCATGAATAGCCTGTGGGGGGCTTGCAGAGTGCGGGCTGGCCAAAAACAAGAAAAAATGGCTTCAAGAGGCAAAAAATGCTGTATTCGTTGTATAAGACACACCCAGATTTTCAGCCTCTTTTTTGAGGAAAAAAGCTGAGTCTTATACTCCAAAAAATACGGTAGATCTGTGTATTTGCGTCTAAAAACTTTGCTGGCAACCAAATAGTTTTTTGTTTTTTTTTAAGAATGCATATTTGGAGGGTTGGACTCAGTGGTGGGATTTAAATAATTTAACAACTGCTTCCCTGGCTGGATAGGTGTGGCCGGGTAGTCATGTGACAGGGTGGGTGCGGCCAACCCAATGTCATTCATCACACCCAGCCCTGCCTCCTGGCCACTCACCTCAAGGGCAGAGGTGGGATTCAGCAATTCTGACCGGTTCAGACTAATCCCACTAGTGGCTGGCCCCATCTCCGCCCATTTTTTGACTGATTTTCGGGCCATTTTTCAGATGCTTTTGGGTCGACGGCTGAAAAATGGGCAGGGGCAGGGCCGGCCACTGGTGGGATTAGCCGGTTCGCCGAATTTGGCCGAATTTTAACAATCGGTTTGCTTGAACCAGTCCAGACCAACTGAATCCCACTTCTGGTTGGATTCTTTGGAAAACAAGAGAATTGATGGAGCAAATTCTCCCCTCTTTGTGTGAAGTGGACTGAGGAGAACAAACTGTCTCTACATCTCGGGGATGGCACAGAAAGAAAGTTAAGTAGGAGAGCTAGAGAGAAAAAGTTCTGACAGTCTGTGTGTGAGAGAGTAAAACTTGATGAGGACAGACTGCATCCTGAGTAAGAGCTAAAAGTAGAGCCAGAAGTATGCCTCATCTAACAGAATGCCTGAGGACAAGATTGCCTCCATCACGAGTTGCAAACCTAAAATTTATTTCCTATGTTTAAACACGAGTATCTGATCTTTGAAAAATCCAGACAGATTTAATAAGGAAAAAATCTTGATTATAGGAAAACATGATTGAACCAAGCAGAAGTCAAGAAATGGAAAGTGTAGCAAAGCCACCAAGGTTGGTGATTTTAACGCTAGAATAAACAACTGGATTTCTGTACTGCTAATAAATCTTAAGACTTGTGGGCGTCAATTCCCAGCTATGCTGGCTGGGAAATTCTAGGAGTTGAAGTCCACAAATCTTCCATAATAAAATCACATCAGGGATCTTCTATCTATCTATCTATCTATCTATCTATCTATCTATCTATCTATCTATCTACAAATGGTGTGAGCAATTTCAACCAAACCTGATACACAGATGATTTACTCTCTGAAAAAAAAAATACTGTGGGGGTAAGACACTCCTAACACCCCTGGGGGGAGGGTTCTATTAAGATACAGCCTGTTGTGCCTTAAAATGGCTTCTACTGTACAGTGCAGTGTTACCATGGTAATGGCTTCACAGTACTCCACAAGGGGGCTCCCTCTGGTAGTGGGAAAATCCAAAATTAGAAATTACATTTGATTCGGACACTTCCCCCCTATAAATAAATATGTGGGCAACCCAGGTTATCAGCTAGTAACAAATAAAACAAATGCCAGTAGCAACGAAAAAACTCAGCTGAAAATATATAACGCAGATATGCAGCTAAGAACCAAGGACAGAATCAAGAAGAGATGCCTCTTCTGCACATAGTATCCTATCCTGTCCTTTTTTATTTCCTGCTTTGTCCAGGGAAGCCCCCTTCCCGTATCTGGAGGCTACCTGAACTCACCATTTAAATGTCACCTAAAGCTTTCTTTGGTGATACATCACTAATGCAGACAAGCTCCATATTACACCTGACATGCTGTGAGTTGGAATATAAGATAAGGGTTTTATAATCCACATCCCATTAAACTAGGATGACCGTTCAATTACAATGGCATTGAAAAAAAGTGATTTATAGCCGCTTCACACTTACAACCATTGTGGCATCCCCATGATCAAAATTCAGATGCTTGCCAACTGACTCATACTTATTGGTTCCCTTTTGCAACCTTCTGACAAGCAAAGTCTATGGGGAAACCAGTTTCACTTAGCCACTATGTGACTAAGTTAACAACTGCAGTGATTCACATAGCAGCTGTGTGGTCGGTAGCAGGCTCCGTCCACCCACCTGGATGTCGTCATGTCTGTTTTTCATGCTCTGCGCATGCACAAAAGGTCGTATGCGGGCACACACTCACATTTGCAAACCAGTAGCGAAGGTAAGTAGATTTCACCCAGGACAAAATCTAATCTATAGAATAATAATGGAAATAAGTTTTTTCTTCCTCACCATCCAGTAGGTGATTTATTAGTAATTTTAGTGGCAGGTTTGCGACTGATATAATTTGAGGGAAGCAAGATTTAGTTGGGAGATACATTAAGGGGGATATAGCTGGCTATAACTAACTGCTTCTAATTTGGTCCTCTAGTACTGCATATCTGTTCTTCCAAACATACCAATTTCCAAGGAGCTAGGAACTTTTAGGTGCAATAGAAGAACAGAATTACAGAACAAGAGTTGGAAGGGACCTTGGAAGTCTTCTAG